ACTTGCAATTCTTTGGCTAAGGCATGGTCACGCCGACATCCTACGAATGTGTTGCCTTTTGGTGTTATTAAAGTCCTTGGTTCCTTGCCTAATACCCTCTATCAAAAGGTATCAAAGAGGTGACTCTCTATTCCAATGCGGACAACAATTCAAACACGTACTGGTAAGTCAACTTTCAACTTGGAGATATATACTGATGGGATATAACAAGGATCATCACCAGGTCCAATGCTATTGTTTCTACACGTTAATAATCTGGCCACCAATATCAATTTGAAGCGGCTAACTGCTGCTAATGATGGGAAACTAAATTTTGTGCGCTTAATTGGAACAGGTTCAGTCATCGTGTAGGTTATATCCAGCGGTCAAAATGCCGGACGAAATCCTTTGACCAGAGACCTTATTACGATACTTCTATTAAAAAAGAGACAAAAGGTAGTTTGGTACAGATTATTTCGTCGGATAATTCTCTTACACGGATTTTAAGAAACGAATTACCTACAGGATCAGTGGAAGTCACTAAAATCTTCTCCACATCTTGCACTTAGCCGCAACTTGGGTGCGCTGCATTGGTGTAATTTCTCTCTACAGATGTCGACGCAAGGGCCTTACTTAAGCTTCAACGTCTGATAGTCAGAATGGGACCGACTCTGGGCCGCCAGAAATACCCATACTATGGCACTAAACTGAGGTTTTTAACATTTAAGATAGGGGTTGCCACATTCTGATACACAGGCTAATGCTTCTAAAAGACATCAAGATAGGGGTTGTCACATTCTGATACACAGGCTAATGCTTCTAAAAAGACATCCATCTCCGAGATCCTTGCATACTAGCTTTCTTGAACAGCCATCTGGATTCTTGGCGCTAAATGTTTCCAGCAGAATATGTCGCTCACAGAATAACTTGCCATCATAACCGACGTGCGCTTAAATCTGCTAATATTTTTAGCTCCAAGCTATACAGTTCAGTCACCTAATCCATGTAGCAGCACCTTAATAATCGCTGTTACATTCAATAGAACAATAGGGGATTCAGCCAAGTTACCTCAAAGCATATTTATCGAATTAGTGATGCAGATTCCTGCAGGAGTACATGGATTACTGCACTTTAATCCCAAGAAACGGAGTATGCTGTGTACGCCGACTATGTATCGGCCTCAAAATAAATTATACTCTGTGAAACATTCGAAGGGTTACTATGTTTCTAAGCTCGTCACTTAGGACGACTTAGGGACCAGAATATAAGTTGACGGTTGCTTATATTCAAAAAAATTGGATTAACCCCGAGCTTTTGATGTCTGTTTGGATAATATGAATCCTTGTATGTCACCCAAGCAACCAAAATGCAGTAAAATGGTAATATATGGTTAATCACTTCTTCGAAGTCACCCACAAGTTAGAACACTATGTTACGACCGATGTAAGAGCTTATAAATTATCATGGCCTAATTGAACGGGAACGCCTTGTGATCGGTAATTAGGCAGTCAACATTTTGCAACAAGCTTCTACGGGATCTTTAAACACGATGCCGTAGACGTGGCATCTGGTGGCCTTCACTGTTATTCGGACGACGTTCTCTATTTGATACTTGCTCCCTCAACCGATATCACTCAACATTTCTGGTTTTCAACCCTAGTCCATTAACAAATTTCGCAAGAGTGTTTAGGTTACTTTAAGAACTGTAGCAATATTAGTCGGCTAATATTCATATATGAACGAATTTGGCCCAAAGGCCTGTTGATAAAGATACTCAGTCTAGGCGTCGTTTCCCAGCTTCACTAGGTTCTGCCAATAGTTTCCCAAGAGGAATGTCCTAAAAGCACTCCTCTATGGAGATAGAACTAGGCCCATCATGTGCATTGCCAGTCCTTAAGGAACGCCCGCACAATGTTCAGCAGTATGACTTAAACAGCAGTTGCGTGTCAAAATAACGGCTATTTTCACCCGGTTTTTGCCGCACAAAAAAAACCGCACGAGGAACCAGTGCGGTGGCAAGGAGCATACTTGTTTACCTGGGAGGTGGACCGCGACTCGTGCAATATCTATGCAAATTTATGACATTCAACCTTCTTTTATTGCAGTGGAGAATTATGGTCTCTTGCATTTAAGTGTATTAATATATATCCATATCTACAGATGCTTCATAAGACTTCCTTGACATTTAAACGCCCCCAAGATGGCACAACATTTATTATTTGCTTGCTCCTCCTTTGAAAATTGCGCGGAACTTTGCGGCTAAAAAAGACGATTAAGCAGCTTACTTAAGTTATGTCACCACTAGGCGAGGCGCTATCGCCTTTCTTTGTTTGCACCCCACAAAATAATAAATTTTCAACAAAACGTAAGCATACGCACGCTAGAGACCGCAAAATCCGACAGACATAGATAACGAATATGGCGGTGCCTCCACCTAATCTGCTGTTAGGGTTGAGAAATTCCAAGAGGGTGCTATTTGACTTGAATTGACAGAACAGAATAATAAGGCTTGCCTGCTCATCTTCACAAAGTGGAAGGCTTGTCTTGACCCCTGGCTTGGCTAAAACCCATAGAAATAAAAATGAGCTGGTCTCTGTGTAAAGCGGGGACACAACTTTTTAGCCTTTTTCATGGCCCATAATGCAGAGGAAAGACTACATATATCAAGACCGTGCTCCGCACGGTGTATTACCTTTTAGATGTAAAGGTGACAAGTTGAAACGGTTTATCTGAATCTGGTGTTAAGCACAGCGGTTTATAGTTATTAAGATCACGGTCACCACATAACTTATGGGAGGGCGACAGCCACTATTTTGGAGGATTGATTGCTCGTTAACTCGTAACTCACGGGGAAAGAATCCAGGACAAAATGCTGCCATACATAGGTTGATTGGCACTTTTAGTCTGTGTATCTTTCTGAAAAACCCTATTGATGGACGGTATTGCATTTGTTTTGTGAACATGATCCGGAAAATTGTCACCGAATGTTAAGCTCTTTTCCGGTTTACAACAATGGTGAACAACGTGATATTGCGAAGCCCGTTTCGTAAAGACTGAATGAAAAGGAGGTAGCAGTTGCCATGTCACTGTGGTTCTTGGCAAATCTGCAGCGCTGCTGCTGAGCTCACGTACAGTGGATGTCCGTCAACCGACCTACGGCGCACACCGATATCCTGTGAACGATCCTTCTGCCTAGGAGGATTACCCAGTCAGCACCCGAATAGGCGCCTATTCCGTTGGACCCTAGCGAGCTGTGTGGGTCCGCCATATAAAAACATATGATAATGCTTTGTTCGGTACCCCGATTTAAGTGGAGTACGGCGCCTAACTCTGGCAAAGGCATGTGGTTTCGATGCCTTGTTTGTTTGTCGTGGTTTTGTGGCCAAGTAATTGAAGCCCACGGAGCACAGAGTTCAGTCCCTTATTCGCATGCCGAAAGAGATACCTGCTATCCTTGTAGGCCGTTATGAGGAAAATACCCGTACAGTTTCATCCTAAGAAGCTCGAGTTTTAGCTACATTATTACTTTTCATAAAAGTCTGCGTGCAAACATGCGTGTCTTAATTATTTGTAAAGAAGAAATACAATCGGAGGACACCTCATGTGGTTCTAGTAATTACTATTTCGGACGTCATCTCTCGCTTTCAGCATATCAATACACATAAAGCGGCAAGGTTTCTCAGTGGATGGTTTAAGTATTTCCATGCAAACGGGAAAAGTTTTCGGGTTAGAAAATCAATTTACTCGGTGTTCATCCATTTTTCTGTCGTTCACATTTTAGTTATTCGGCTGTTTCCATAACAGCAATGTTCTTCACGCTTCCGCTCGTGAAAATCCAATGGAAGCAATAGTTTTTCCTACGCACAAAAAAATTAAAAGACGGTTTCAGGGTTACTCTACTTGGAATGTGAATTCCCATGCGAAGACTTTGGAGCCAAATAACTCAGACCTTGTGAAAAGTCACAACCGCGCCGTAAATTTCTTCTCAGTGTCGTCTGAACACTGTGTACGTGAAATCGAGCGGATATAATGGAGCCATCAAGTGTGACTCTTTCGTTACAGCACACCATTCTTTTACTTTTCAGGACAGCCGGCTTCCTTCTAATGATGCGATTCTTCAAAACTTAAGCTTGTGTATTGTGTAACTTGTTCTACTACTTTTTTCATCCCCTTGTTTCCTAGTCCCAAATAGCTTTCCTGTTTTTATCTGACTCGTCCTGCTTTCTATTGCTTCCATTCTTTGTAGCCTTTTTTCCATGCTATTGGATTTGAAAAAGCGAGCACCTTGTTCAAGGCGCATCCTGCGGGGTAGTCCACATAAAAACTGTTTATAATCAGCCTTCGTGCCTTATACCGCAAAGTTTAGTATGTCAAACTTCTTTTTATGAAGTTAAGTGGCTAAAAACAGTAAGCGTGAGACAAAGCAAGTCAAAAGGCTCTTCCAAACTACTCCTAAATAGGACAGAGCAGAGATCTGTGTACCATTTTCAGATAGTAACGACAACTGTTTCCCCTTAATAGATGCAAAAAAGGAATGATAATATCATATCGAGCCTCACCCAGGTTCAGGTTGTCTCTGGTGGCTTATCTGGTCGCCATGTTTGGCAAATAGCTTACATACCCTGGGCACATTAGATAAAAAACAAACTAAATGAAATTTGGTCTTCTAAGTAAATGGCGTAGTAAAAATCAAGGTACAGAAACTAGGATGAGGTTACCTTTCAATAGGTTTCTTCATTGCTGATGACAAACAGCATCGGGACACTCTACAACAAAGGGTTTCCGATTAAATGGGCTTATGTCAGGGTAACCCTCTCATCTGGGTAATTATCAACTTGGTTATGCATCTAAGGGAATAGTTTCCCAATCTTCTCCAAGGTATTTGAAGCGAAACCACATTGGTTCGCTGAAATTAGAAATATACTGCAACACAGCGTGACGCAGTATTCTCATACGATACGGTTTTCTGAATCACACGGGGAAGAAATATAAGAAAACTCACCACCACTTACCACCTGTAGCTTGTCGTGTTTTCCTGACGGATATTTTATTTCTTTTGAAATCCGCAGCTTTCCAACGGAATATGAACACATACTTTTGACATATGCTTTGTGTTCGAACTCTAAACTGCACGTGGTCAACATGAGTGCCTACTTGCAAGCCGTTGGATGGGTTTATCCACTATCCCCTAAAGTGACCACCATCGGTCGAAGCGGTTGTGACATTATCATTAACGTAAGTTCGCGTTACACGTTTGTAGCATTTGAATGTAAGAATGCGTCTGTTGATCAACAGCATGCGGTGATTGAACGGGATGAGAACCAGAATGTACACATACTAAGAGATCTTTGTTCCGAAAAGGTAATCCCCCATGAACCTTTGAGAGTAATGAGAAAAATAGGGGACATTTATAAACAATATTCCGATTCGAGATGCAGCTGTGATATTAAAACAAGGGGATCAGATTCGATTTGGGTCATTTCCGACTGTTTACGGATTTGAACTAGGAACATTGGTATGTTTTTTTTCGTAAATCGTAAATTCTTGTCACAAATGTAGACAGGAAGATCTGGTCAGAGCGACCCGGCACAACTTCGTTCAGGTAAGAAAAGGTCAAAGTTCGATTGGTTGTTGTAGCTTTTGTGACAACCAGAGCATCAGTGCCGCTTTGGGTACAAAGCAATCAAACTGAAGGCAGGGCGAATAAGTCTTCGAACGCTGACAACCCAGATCAAATATTTTCGAAAATTCAAACCCGAACTTCAGGTGAGTCACTTATTTGTCTTTGCACGCAGCGCCCATATGACAAGTAAGAAACGACATTTCTTATGTGTGCTGGTCTTTGGGTCACATTGATAATTCCAAGTAGGGCACTCGAAGCGTTTGGTGGTGTCTGTGATGCACTTTACACGGTTAATTTTGTTTATTATGGCTCGGGTATTAAAGACGGTGAGTTAAGTCCGTCAGTGTGACGTAGTGTAGTATAGACCAGAAGCGGTGTATACAAAGCAGACTTCAGGGTGGCTTTTCAACCCGCCAATAACCACAAACCAAAGTAATGCGCAGGTTCACGATAGAAGGAAATGATTCACGGCGTAACTCAGGGTTTCGTGATCATGTTTTGGAATATCTGTGGAAATTTCTTGACCACCGCCACTGGACCAGTGTTTTCCTGCCGCCTTTTCTAAACAAAAGTACTCCTACGCCCTAAGAAATTCAATACTGAGCTTATAAGACATTAGATGTTCAAAATTGGATCAATCTCATTTGGTTGCATCAGTTTGGCTACCACTATTCCTGAACCAGAAGGAAATTAGTCATACACGGAAGGCACATCCGGTACTAGTTATTTAGGCAGCCTTTCACTAACCAGGTGCAGCTGGTGTATGCATCAAAGCTATATTAGTCAGATGAAGCAAATGTATTTGATACCGGGTAGAAGTATTACTGTTAGTTCTATTCCAGTGGACCTTGTTTTAAAAGTCGAACAGGATTGTTGGACATCTTTTCACGAATAAGCTTGTGATTTTTTTCTGCACAAATTCATTTTCAAAAAAATGTCAAGGAATGTCGCCAAAACATGATCTCTAACGGGTCGTGGCTACAGGAGCAGATCAACTTTTTCCACTTAGCGTACTGCAGGATTTCAGATGGGTTTATTTTCTTTTCGTCAAGATAATACCAAAGAGCAAGGAAACGACTGAAATCAAAAACATAACATGGGTTCTGCTTCATTCCCTTAGGGGTGTCCTAATATGAACTTTCTGCTTTATGAGTTTATACAGATCGTGAAAATTTAAAACAGCCAAGTGAAAAATCAGAGGTTCGGAAAACTTCGGAAGAAGAACTGGCAGAAAAGGTATGACGGTGTTCAGTTTTGTTTTTGAACTAATTTGGCTGTGGATATAGGCGATATAATTCGATTAAAATAGTAAGTTCTTCCGAAGATATTGTGCACCTGCAGAGCTTTTAATTACTGGCCTGAAAAGCGGGATAACCTAGTAAATATGACAAAGTCTGCAGTGAATAATCGATCACGTGTCATGTGATTTTAGTTACGTTCCAAACTTTAAGTGAAACACACTGTCATAAGTTACGCCTCATGCATTCTGCTTCTATACCTTCAAAAAGGATGCGCAAATCCGGTGGTTTCAGAAGGAACTTGATCGACTGGCGCCACTTGAGGCAATCAGCAACCAAAAGGACATTCTTATCCGGCAGTTACAGGAACAGTTATTCCATAAATCAAATAACAGGCCACAGCAACCCTTCCCGCAGACAGAGGGTACTTCCTCAATTCCAGCTCTACATCTTGGAAATGCCATTACATCTCGGACAGACGAAGGAACCAAGCCATCAGCAGTTGATCCTTTGTCCCGTTCAAAATCCAACTCACTAATTGTCTTGACAAGGAAGAGTGGTAATGGGAATTCTCCAGTCACAACCAGTCCCCCGAATGGAGAATTCGATAAAAGCGCCTTCGAAAGAATCAACAGAGAGAGAAAGGTTCTCAGCGGGTTGGTGACTCAACTTCAGGCCGATTTGTCCAGAAAGGATGACAATATTGCGCGGCTGTTAGAAGAAGTCAAAGGTTTGAGACAACAGCTGGAAGAGAGGGAAGTTGCGCTTGCCACACTGCATGCAAAAGTAAGACTGTTCGAGCAAGTATTATTGAGCTATGCGACTTTGAACGGATTAGTGGATATAAGTACTAAAATACTGAGGCTACCTTGTTCCATAGCCTGGGTTAATTTACCCTTGAGGATACTGCATACTGTAAAGACCCCAGTTCCTATATTCCATGGAAAGCTTTATGCGCACTAGTCGGACCACGTATTGGTCACATTAGAAATCACGAATTATTTATCCGGTGAACAAGTAAGATAACGTCAGAAAACTTTGAAGCTTTCATGTTGTTACCCCTACCAGAACTCCAACCTTTTTGAATGTGAATTTAGGTATATATCTCACATTAGAAATCACGAATTATTTATCCGATAAACAAGTAAGATAACATCAGAAAACTTTGAAGCTTTCATGTGGTTGCCCCTACCAGAACTCTAACCTTTTTGAATGCGAATTTAGGTATATATTTTGACCCTTTCTTTAACATCGAAGTATTGAAACCCCTATGTCTCAACACGGAGAACAAACAACTCTATTTTTCAGAAAACTTTTGATTAGTGTGAAATTGTATTTTCGACAAGTTTATTTATCGTAGGATTGAAGGGATCATGAACGTTATCTATGCACCGGAAGGATGTAATCATGGTCACTTTCAGGTGATAAAGATAGCGGAGTTTTATTTCGTTCCTGACAAAGTCAGCGCTGCAGATTGTGCCAATAATTGAAGACATCCGTAAGTGAAGCTTACTGATTCAGCGTTGTGAATCTGTATAAGGTTCAGGAGCTTCGGCTTCTACGTCACTAATAACGAATAATTTCTGTGTCACTAAGCTAAATTTCGATAAGAACCACAAGAAAGATAATACACCAGGAAAATATATCCAATGGCAACGGAAACATAGATGATTAGTATCAATAACGAATAATTTCTGTGTCACCAAGCTAAATTTCGATAAGAACCACAGGCAAGATAATACACCAGGAAAATATACCCAATGGCAAGGGAAACGTAGATGATTAATAAATCCTCAACGAATACCATACTGTCGAGCGTCCCTTCACCCCATGTTCTAACAGACCTGAAATTTAATTTACTTTGCCATTATGGCAGCTTCCAACGAAAAATGTCGTATGCACATTCTCGCTCGATTAACAACTCAATCTGACCAAATTCACAAGCGGCAGCCGGTTGACTTGGCAGTACTGTATGACCATACGAACCAAAGTCATCTTCTTAAGAGATTTTTATAGCGGCTCCTCTTATTCTGTAGTAACAATGGCCGTCTCAGAGGTTCCGGCGGGTTTGTACCCTCACAAAGACTCCGAGCTAATTGAGTAATCTCCCCGATACAAATGCGCCCTACTGGGAGTGGGTTCCTTGTGAGGAACAATAACGCATGCAAAACTGTGCCTTTTATAGGCATTCGTATATTGCCGCACTTTATGAGGCTGAATTCTCTGTTAGATGCCAAAATCAGCCCGTTTCTTTGTTTCATAGCACGCAAATGCCATCGATGCCTCAGAACGTGCCAGAGAAAATGAGGCCTACGAGAAAGCCATGACTATTCTGCGTCAGGTATGTCAAAGCCTACCACGGTTATTCATAAGGTAAAACTTTTTGAAGTCTATTTTTCTAGGTTCACCACAATTCTTTAAAGCCAAACTATATCAGCGTGCTTTTAAATGATACAGCTTTACTTATAAAGTCAAGTCGATTGATTTATTAAGTCCATGTTTAACGTAACGGTTTCAAATCCTTGAGTCTATCAGACTTATAGACTCGGTACGCATGAAATATTTTTCCAAACACGATGGCATCACACTCAACTCACGCACTTGCAAGATTCGTGTCTTGAATTCACTTTCTAGTAGAATTAACTCCTCAGAAAATGGTCGTTTTTGGGTCGCAACTGATAAGGTCAGAGTTACACACTAATCTATGGTGTCTGGTCAGATTGACTTTTTTTACGAATCCCATTGGTATACATTCCGAAGACATTATTAAGCTTAGGACTGCTAGTGAAAGCGCTGACGACTGTAAACAGTTGAGTCACAGCGAACATATATAGAGCAGACAATGTTCAATATACTAATCTGGACAAATAAAATCACATTCCCTTCGTGAAGTACACGTTTGAATGGAAACATCCGGGAATAGTCCGAATGTTCTGGTGACCGTTAATTTATTGCAACCTAGAATCACTGGGAACTAGATTTGACAAAAAGAATGGAATTGTCAGATGCTTCTCCAGGTTTGCGACAGCTCATTCCAACGCAAATTTGGGGTTGTTAAATGAGATATATCACATTAGTCGAGGAATCTGCGATATTTCAGTTATTGTTTTGTCTAAAAACTGACAGTATGGACAAATGAAATCACATTTCCTTCGTGAAGTACACGTTTGAATGGAAGCATCCGGGAATAGTCCGAATGTTCTGGTGACCGTTAATTTATTGCAACCTAGAATCACTAGGAACTAGATTTGACAAAAAGAATGGAATTGTCAGATGCTTCTCCAGGTTTGCGACAGCTCATTCCAACGCAAATTCGGGGTTGCTAAATGAGATATATCACAGTAGTCGAGGAATCTGAGATATTTCAGTTACTGTTTTGTCTAAAAACTGACAGTATAGCACTATCCATCAATGTGAAAGATGGGCGCTAAACGTCAACCAGATGTAAACCATAAAAGTGTCACCCAACCTTGATGTTGTGTGTCACCTTAGTCCAGCCGAGACTCATTTTTCATGAAACTCGTTGTTCTTATTTTCACTACAGTTACACATTTTGGCGGTCGGAGTCATCGTGTTAGTTTTCCTTCATTAATGTGTCCGGTCGTCAGTGCTGGCTCGACTGGTCATTAAAATCACAACTTTAGGGTGAGGAAAAATGCTCGGTTGTCATAAAAATGTAGTTAATTTGAAGGATTTACCATAAAAAAGTCAAAAGGTGTAAAAGGAAGAAAAGCCATTGCCAGACTGCCTCGCACTCTCATGATTACAGCTGCTCAACGCCAATGATCGCACAAGAGTTTCGTTACCAGTCCTCATTACTAGTGTCTTGTTGCTGTCAACGATGAAGCATCGTTGTTCTTTTTGAATTCAGTTTCAAATTTCAACACTTCATGACTGTTTGCCTTAAATCATCCAAACGAACGGAAAAATGCTCGGTTGTCATAAAAATGTAGTTAATTTGAAGGATTTACCATAAAAAAGTCAAAAGGTGTAAAAGGAAGAAAAGCCATTGCCAGACTGCCTCGCACTCTCATGAGTACAGCTGCTCAACGCCACTGATCACACAAGAGTTTTGTTACCAGTCCTCATTACGACTGTCTTGTTACTGTCAACGATGACGCATTGTTGTTCTATTTGAATTCAGTTTCAAATTTCAACTCTTCATGACTGCTTGCCTAAAATCATCCAAACGAACCTTTACGCTAGACACCCATTGCAAGCCAAATACAACTGTTTTACCCCGTTTGAAGCTTGACAAGATCAAAGAGATAATAGTTGGGGTGAGTTGATCGTTTCCGTCCTTGGAATTCCAGCTCATAATTTGTTGCTTAAATCGTTTGCATATCCTCCCCGAGATTTCACTGCAATTTACTCCAGATTATATCACGTCAACGTGAAACAGCGAGATCAAATTACGAGGAAAGCTAGAGAAGCTAAAGATTAAGCTCGGTGAACTGGAGCGTTTGGAAAGGCAAGCTCTGTCGGCAGTACAAGAAAATCAGAATAAGGTTGGTTTCAAAACTGAAGTGCGACAGTAATCTTGTAAATTATGTGCCTGCTTTACGTTAGACACCCATTGCAAGCCAAATACAACTGTTTTTACCCCGTTTGAAGCTTGACAAGGTCCAAGAAATAATAGTTGGGGTGAGCTGATCATTTCCGTCCTTGGAAATCCAGCTGATAATTTGTTGCTTAAATCGTTTGCATATTTTCCCCGAAATTTCACTGCAATTATATCACGTCAACGTATAATTTCTGGCACGCTCCAGTAATGAACTGGTAGCTATAATATAACGTGCATATTTTGCACTGTAATTATCGTCATTCTGGTCAGATCGCCATTCACAACATGATATAACCAAAGGCTCCTGGTTTCCCAAGGACGCAAGAGGGGAACTTCACAATAATGGGTGTTTAGCTAAAAATTAGTGAAGAAAATTTGAAAAGCGGCCTCTTGTATGTCTTTTTAGGTCACATACAGGGCTCATATTTCCTCGGAACTCGTGACTGCATCGTCACTCTAGGGTACCGATTATTGCTTGGGTTAACCAAGGGTAACACATATAACGTGCATATTTTGCACTGTAATTATCGTCATTCTGGTCAGATCGCCATTCACAACATGATATAACCAAAGGCTCCTGGTTTCTCAAGGACGCAAGAGGGGAACTTCACAATAATGGGTGTTTAGCTAAAAATTAGTGAAAAAATTTGAAAAGCGGCCTCTTGTATGTCTTTTTAGGTCACATACAGAGCTCCTATTTCCTCGGAATTCGTGACTGCATCGTCACTCTAGGATACCGATTGTTACTTAGGTTATCCAAGGGTAACAAATTCTACTCAGTTCAAATAAATTCAATCATACTGTGTCCATCCATAGACTCCTAACATACTTTGATTAATTTTGAATGCTTATCTGGTAATTCCATCTGTGGCGTTCTCTTAGACATCAAGAAAATTACGTCTGTCGCCTCATATAAACACTGTGTGTTGACTTAAAAATGTTAGAAGTCTATGGATGGACACAGTATGATTGAATTTATTTGAACTGAGTAGAATGTCTAATTTCTGCAAGCTGGTAAACGGCCACCGATACAAACAGTATCAACGCTCCAAAAGCCGCCATTAATTACGTTCGGACTGCACAGTTGTAAGGACTAGAAAATAGACCGGAAAACGAGATCGTTAAGGACAAATTCCGTTTCAGATAACTTTTGATTTGAAATACATATAGAGACTATTAACCGTTGTAATAATGGCAGTAGGAATGTGTACGTTGCATTGCATGTGTAGAGTGTGGAAACGTCTATAGAAATAGTAACTCACCATTGTTGCTAGTAGCGAGATCCTCTATTACAGGTTTGTTAAATAGAAGCAATCAAACAACACGTAAACACGACAAAGGACACTTCCGTCAATCAAGTATTTTGGGTGAACTGGTTAAACGGAACGTCTGTGGAACTCAGATGGGATTGCTGGGTGAGATGGTTGGCTAACTTGGGAGCATCATATTCTCGCGTTGTTATAGTGCAACAAAATGGTCTAAGTTAGTAAAATGCCTTCCACTTTCCACTCTTCTTTCCCCAAATAATCAGATACGTATGTGTTTGTTTTGACACCAACTGTGGATTATTCACCCTATCTGACTAAAAAGGGAAAATGTGAAGTGTAAATGGACTAAATTCTCTTTTTTCAGTATGAAAGCTTGCGCAATCGAATTATGCGGGCGTTATTTGCAGTGAAGCTCAACCAACCATCTAAGACTAACACATCTGAAGCCGGAGATTGCCGGAATGAAGCCGAAACGTCTGTAGCCTGTTTGGACTCCATCTTAATCGGAGATTGGGATGATCCAGCAGGGAGAGAAAGATCAAACAATGCTCTGGTGGACGACATGGATGATAATCACATTGTCGACAGATTACAAACCATGATCGAACAAATGTTGCGGCTAAAAAGACAAGTTTCGGAGGAAGAAGAACAGAGGAGGAAACGACGCACACTTGATCGTGGCATTGAGAATGATCTAGATATTTTCGTTAACTTACTGGTCGATGTTGGGGTAAGATGTTCCCTTCCGTTTCGATCGATGTTCTAACACAATTCCGTGATGGAGTTTTCAGTGTGACTTAAACAATTGTTTGTTGTCGTACGCACACCTAATTTTTCACACAATCACACATCTTTTTGGGCTTTGTGCTTTGTTTGAGCTATTGTCTTGTGAATACGCTTGTCATAAGTATCCATTTTTAACTCGGCCCCTTAAACTCAATAATTCTGAAACCGATTGCATGTCGAAGTGAATTTAACTGATGTTGACATGAATAAGAGTAGAATAATGCATGAAAACGTTCAAGATAAGGACCGTGACGCCGTGCAAAAAAGCTGAAAACTGCTTGGCATGGTACACTCGTTATTCTTGCACCATGTACGAAGGCCTTACCTGACCTTGCCCATCCACCACGTGCCTGGCTGAGATACACTGATGATATACTTGCGATCATATCAGTCCCACAACAAGCCTTCTTAAACTTGAACGAACGATGCAGCAGTTTAAAATTTACAATGAAAAATGAGGGCAAACACGAAGCGTAGTTTTTCTGAACTCCAACCTATCAATTAATATCCACAATGGATTCTCAGCGGGAATCCAGTGAAGCCCATACATACAGACAGGCACTTGCATTATCAGTCTTCGCAACCACACCACTTCGAACAGGCAGTTGTCAGATTGCTGGTGAATCACGCCAAGCAACTATGCTGGATTGAGTCCATACAAGCAGATGAACTGAAGCGACTCAGTAGAATATTACCGCAAAATGATCACCCCATGAGGTAAATTGCAGGACAAATTTGGAGGACGTTAGCCGGAACGGTGAAAGAGGGAGACGAAAAATCGCTGGTCACGGTGGGACTACCCTTATTGAAATGACGACGCCATTCAAAATATATTTCGAGATTATGCTGTTAGGGCATTATTCCGAATTGATAACACTTTTCAAGGCCTCCTTGCGAGGATTACGGACCCTATCAGAGGGAAGCACCGCACAAACTGCCTCTTAAACTTTATGTGCACAATTTCCAGCCAAATACATAGGTCAGATAGCCATGTACGAATCACGGAGCATAAATGACGTGCGTTTTTCTTCACGAAATCTAATCGATTTAGGAGAAGTCTGAAAGCGACTCGGTCATTGTATTCCACTCACTTTAAATCATCTTCGACGAGACATGTGTGCACCAGACAGGATTCAGGTCACCTGTGGAACCGGTGGGCGTTGAAGCAACAGAATTCAATACAACCAAATGGCGTCAACCGTAGTGATGGAGCCAGTATCCCCTTTACCTGGCTTAAACTTACTGCACACCTTGGTAGGTATGGCAGCCAGAGATCAAGCAAGAATCTCGACAATGATGTATCACGGCTATCACAATAGCAAACAGAGGCACAACCTACTCAAAGTGCACACATAATCACACACACACATACCGGTCGCATCTGACTGCCAACCGACCTCAGGAGCACCCCTATCAGAAGAAAACACAACAAACCCAAGTAACACTTCGCTTGACACGTATTCAATTGATCGTAGAAGTCCTTGAAGAAGGCTACACAGGATAACTGAAACGTCGGGTTATAATACCTCATCCTTCTACGCTGTTGGCAGTAGTCAATAAGTTTCAGCTTTCTGCTCGTGACCAAATGCTAGCGATGCTGAGGTAACCTGCTTCCTTCATGTCATACCTAACTAGAATAAATATGGGGGAATGCTAGAAACATCGAGTATCGTCACACTGTTCCGAGCAGGTAAGATTGTGAACTGAAATCTCAGTAACCTGGATTTACTGGCGCCTTCAACTTGGCTCCCAGTCATCGTATTGACAGAGTATATGCTTGTTTTTTTCAGAATTGAACTTCCAAAATACTTTGACTGATGATGTACCCCTAGGGAAAATTTGACATGGGCATGATGACTAGAGTTAACATGAAGATCTAGAAGACAACCACTGTTAGAACCATGAAGTAATGCATAACTGTTCCTAAACCTAGCACAACTTCCGTAATTCATTAATCCATTTAATGGTTATTTTGGTGAGTGGTGAAGGGTCTGCTTACGTACCCATAAAGTGTATTGAGGAGACTTCTGTGAACTCTCTGGGGTGTCAGCCTTCCTTTGGGAGGGTGTCACTCCAAGGGGATATGGTTTCAAATTTTTCATATTGTTACGATTGCTCATCTTATTTGATACCAGTGATTCACCTAGAGATCATTATCATGGAAATAAATAAAATTGAAGGCTGGGATTTGATGTGTGTATAAAAATCCTTTGAATTAGTGTAGAGTAAAGGATCACACCACTGAGCACACTTTGTGAGACGGAAGTACTAGCAACCGTTTTACGACAGCTGTTTTCCAGGTGTTTGAGAACAGCCAAACAAGCCAACTGGTTATCACCATTGCATCTTTATCGTTCAGTGAAGGGTTGTTTCACTTGTATAAAAGTGAGAGCTCACTGCTGTTAAAATTAACCAAATAAATACAACCACTTTTACGTTCCAATTAACAGTCACACTGGTTGTTTACTGCGAACTTTCCTCACTGTTTACAGGAACCAGCTTTCGAATCCACCAAGTTTCGGTCCTCACTTCGAATTAAAAATCAGCTGGATAGGATAGCAACCCACTCCACTCCATTCAAGTGTCTGCAGCGACTACAGAATACACTGGTAGATGAACTTGAAAAGCAACTGGCCAAAGCGCAGCAAATAGAAAACTGTGTCCGTGAAACAGTATCCAAACTGAAAGGTGTCTATCCTGGTAGGTTAAATGAAAGTCCATTAAACCTGGACAGTCTCGCAGTTTTAACCCAGATTTCACACACTTTCGAGATGTCGCTAACGCTACTGAACACTCAGTTCTTTAAACTATATTGCACCTGCTTGACAAAAATTTTATACCATCATTTCAGCCATTTTGTGGATTACACTAGAATATCACTACTGCTGCGATCGACACCGAGCATCATTGCTTCCATGAAAACTTCCATGAGGGCCCTTTGTTGGACTGTGAATATGCCTACCCACTTCTTGGATGCATCCAGGTTGCAATGGGTGCTTTCCCGATGCACATGTATATATCTGTAATAATTTGTTCCATTGTTATGCACACCGTGAGTAGGCATCAGCCAAAGATGTCAATGACATGATTCAGAACGGTCCTTTCCATGTTCTTCTGTCGGTGTTGATATGAACTTTGGGATACGTGCGACCGCTCAAGCTGATCGACTCGACAGCAACTAACCAATTGTATATGTACTCCGCCTGAACATTTGAATTAGACGTCTTACTGCAGTGACAGCAGTGACGAAAATCTCCCTGACTGTCAAAGCCGGATACCCACTGTCTTCTAACCGACGTAAGTCACTTCACCAAATATGCTTCTAGTAACGTATTCAGCTAATGCTGACCCGTAAAGTCCCAGGCAAGCTGAATCCGTAGCCGAATTTCAGTGACCGTCTTCGATTTACCAACCGGACTCCTCTGAGAACAGTTGAGGAAAAGATGGATTCCAGTGTACGGGTAATCTTTATGTTCTTGTTAGACGCATGGGTTTGAAAGGTAAATGTTGGCCTAGAAGCAAAGTCAAATCCATGTTCATATTCTGGTGCTTTTTTATTAGGCATCTTGAAATGCTGGAGGTGAAAATTTCTCGACCGTAGCTGGCAGCCGGATTGGGGGTATCTCACCTTGATCTGTCCTTACATTTCTCAGTTCTCCACCACACTCATTTCTTGTTTAAGACGGCAAAAATGCATAAATGATAAGCGCCTTTTTAAATTCTGATCTGTCGAGATAGACTGAGCCTTTCACATGAGGCAACGTTTTTATAAATCCAACTAAAATTCAGAATATTTAAGTGTAAAGCAGACCTCTAAACGCTTTTCCGAGAAAGCTTTGTCCGGGCAAAGTTACCGTGGCAACTGTTGCTAAGTGATAAGCAATGAACAAATATAGTCGGGTGGATTAATTAACTGTCCATGCTGAGTTGTGTGCGATACTGTACTAATCGCGCAGTAGCAAGCTCATTCCTTTGATGTGTCATAGACAGTATCCTCATTCGGGGTTCTTAGTTGTTAGGCTACAGTGGATAGGTACCAATATGGCTAGCCTCTGGCGGTGTACATTTTTTATCCTGTCGAGATCTAGTAACAGTCACCTTGGGAACTAATGTTTAACAGTTAAAGAGAGACGTGATGTGACGACGGTAACTTTCTTGGCGAAAATTTATTAAAAGGTCGCTCACGTGTTCAGCGTTGACTTTTTCACCACTTTTTTCAAGGAGTGAAGGGCTGTTACGGAATAACCCACCTAGATGGTTGAACGGATCAAAGGTGTTCACAAGCGGCCAGATGCCCTCTTTTGAATGAAGGACGTTATCAAGCAAACGTTTTTTTCAAATTCTTCTGCAGATTTTGACGTGAATACTAACGACACAGTGGATGACCTTATTACCATTCTCCGGCGATTAATTGGGCTTATCCGGTCTGCGCAATGTGACCGAGAAGAGCTTCAGAGGCGTCTGAGTGACACTGAACACAACCACCGGGAGGAACTGAAGACGTTAGAAATGGATGTTCGACGTGATCTACAACGGAAAATTGATGATGCTTTGGCACGAAATAATGAAGAACGTGAGTAACTTTGATCCGTACAGCTAAGTCTCAGTTAACTTCTAATATTCCCTTCTCAGCTTTCCGTAGGTCACACGCTAATTCTAATCTTCACAGTTTACTAAATGATAAACTGAAGTGAAGCTTTTGATATACATTTATACGAAAAGTATGAACTGACCTTTCTATTTGATATGCATCTACCTATCAGGTTGAAAAAAATTTAGACAACCACCTTATAACTCGTGCTGTGCTAAAAAAAACTACTTCCATAGCTCAAGTATCAACACAAATGTACCAGGACGCGGTTTTGTCCATCATATACAATTGATGAATACCACAAAATCCATTATTGTGGTGCCATTGAGACACAAGCGTAGTGAGTAAATGAGCATTTACTTCCACGTTATTTAATACTTTTGATATGACTTCAGACAATTCCATTTACTACGGAAGTTGAAATAGGACGAAGACCGGCGTTTGGAGGTTTGGAACTGGCATGTGACCGTCCTATCACCGGAAGAGATATAGTTAGACAAATCAGGTCAAATCACCCCGTCAGTCTGGCATCTATTGCTCAATAAAACTGCCTCTTATTCGAATACTGAAAAATAAGTTAAAGAGAGATTTCAGGTGCAGCAGGTATTATAAGGTAAGAATGATGAGGTCTTTGTTTGGTTCCCAATGTACCAGAAGAACCGGAAATACCGCTGTCTTCGTTAAAATTTTCAGTCTATAGTGGTTCAAGCTTTGGAAGTTTCTTGAGAAAGTGACAAGCAATTTTATTTATGCAGATGCTGAGAAGCAACGAAGAGCCATCGAAGAAGTGACGCAGATGGAAACTAACCGCAATGAACAAATGTTGGTCGTCAAGCAGGCGATTATTGACGAACTGGAACGTAAACTGCAGGAAGCACAGCAAGTGAGTTATTAATTGTGTGGTAGCAAATTAAGATATAATTCTTTTACCTTCCTGTTTAAGTTTCTCAGTCAACACTTTAATATTACGCCTCAATTGTTAAATACGTTTTAATAAAGGGGATCAAATATAATAAAAAGGAATATCTCTTATATGGGATCCTGTTGTCAGTATCCACATTCGCGACTACAAGGATAACAAAACGTATAATCAGTTTCGTAAATGCACCCATTCAGCTAAAACTGAAAGTTGTTTATCCATGCCGCTGAGTCGACGTCAAGTTACTGCTAACACAGCCACCTGTAGGGTAGTGGAAGCACATCATCACCATCATTATAACTGTTATCGTGATCATCACCGACAGCACATAATCAATGTGTAACAATAATGCTTCGCTGTCGTACAACCAGAACTTATTTGAAATACTCATGAAGAAAAGAATAAAACTGGTTGGAGAAGGGACTTGGTGATAGCATATCACAATCATTCCGAGATGCCTACACCTCGGTGCAGTGGATTCAGTTAACCAGTCGATTTACTGTGTCCTGGGCATGGCTCCATTACCCACCTGCGGATCAAGCTAGGTATACTTGTCCATGACGCAGTGTATGCAGTGTAACAGCTGAGACAGCATAACTCAGTAATTTGCTTTGAAGTTAATGTAGTATTAACCGAAACGTAGTGAAAAAAGCAAAAGTTTCTACGTCGGTAGGTGAGCTGCAAGCCTTTGTTGACATTTGCGTCGACTATTGTTCACTGCAGGAGTGTATCCGGTCAAAAAAGCAAATATTGCTTAGAGAAGACAGCAGAAGTTATCGAATGATTAACTGTGGCTTGTGTACCCTTCCCGCCCCAAATTTCTAGGCCGCGTTTTCTCCGGTGCTAGAAACCCTATAGGTTCCCTTATGCAATGTATACATCTGGATTTTGATAATGATGAAACCCCGGATTCTACTGATATCAAAAACTGTTGGGTATGTAGTCGGTTATCTTTTCTTTTTTCCGCACGACCATTCCAACCATCCTTGTTCTTGACTCCTTTGCTCCTCGTGAAACACAAGTCAGAAATAGAATTCGAGAGTGAATTTGTACCCGATGGTGGTTCCTGAGATATCCAGATGTAGCTGGCTAGTTATCTGGACATACTGGCCAAATACCCTTATTCGCATATTTGAACTGATGTTTTCCTACCCACCTCCATGGCTTTATCGTTGGACGGACAACAACAGATGCGACTGACGCTGATCAGCAGCTAGTACTGCACAGAGCTATCCTCCCCTGTGATAAATGCTGCGATGCAGGGGTTCAGCTGCATTAACTGAAGTAAGTGATACGAAATAGGGTCAAACAAAAGCTGATTATCCAGCCTTTTGAGCAAACAGACTCCTTTTTGGCTTGCAACAAGTTGATGCATGTGGAGAGAATACTATTTTCCCGGAACAAACAAACAGCGCTCGTCTTGAAAGCATCTCCTTTGGGAGCACTTTCAATGGTAGCAAGTTGACGTAGCAACCATACGTTTGTGTTCTGTTTCAGGAAGTACCACCTTTTCTGGACTTTACAATATGGGACAGCACTCCACTGTGTTTTATGAACTATTGCAATCCCGTTTCCTTTATCTGGGTTGGAAAACTGAGCCCAAGCAAACTGGATTTAACTCTGGACGTCGTACTCTCAGTCGTTCCACAAATGAGCACAATTACTATCGTCATCCCTGTAAAATACTATAACAATAGCGAAGCTAGTCGTCCCCGTCCAGCTTCACGTTCGTCTGGAACAGTCTCAAAATCTAAGAACAGCTGATTTAACAATCCCATATAGTGATAGGCTATAGAAGCTCCGATTTTATCCGATCAAAATGAAAGGTCTTTCCTAGACCTGGGCCGCTGTGATAAGAAAATCTGCAGAAATCATGATCAAGCTCTTCATGGTAGGTTTGAAACGCAATAAAATGAAACACTTTCGATGAGATGAAGTTTACTGAGAAAAAGCGACTGGTTTCATAACTGAAGTACTGCTCAGATAAGTTTCTCAGAGTAATCCTCATATCAGGGTACGGTATACATACACAGGACTCGGTGAACCTAAGTGTTATAGGCGGTGTCTACTTTCTCCTTCTACTAACCCTTCACATCGTATCTAGTTCTTCCCCAATCAGCCTTTACGTACGAAAATTAGCTACGACTCATGCCGTAGCCTAATAAGGCTTTATGTCTTCTGTTCGTTGTTCTTCTGCGAGCACACATCAGATGTGTTGTGGCATTAAACTCGTATTTGATCTCATTGATATTTTGACCGACCCCGTGGCAAGATTGTCGTCAGTTCTGCTGTCAAATAGCTGTCAGCAGCTGAAACAGCATCCAGATGTAGATGGCAGGCACTTGCCTGCTTTCATGTTACCAGCCCTTCGGCAAATGAGTGGAGTAAATTCATCTAGCATCTTCAAATAGCGTGTGGGGAAATCATACAAGTGTAGTGCTTAAGGTTTGTACCCGCCGAGGAGACAGTACAGTCGAATAGACACATGCTTCCCGTTGAAACTGAGGTACTATCAAACACTATGGTAAATTTCTGCGCAAAGAGGCCTATGCCGACGAAACGAGCAATAATAAAAGAAATTTGCACTGGAAAATGCTTCACTTACTGCGATAGTATATAAGATTACGCCAACTGTTTTTAAGAACAAGAAATGTTCTATGGTGAGAATAATCCAAATAAACTTAAAGCGAACGAACAAAATGCACGCTAAGATCTTCGAAATCCCAGCAGCTTTTGTGTAGTATTTCAAGTATTCTTAGACTCGGTTCTCAGACATCCTATGAAGGACTTCGAACTTACAGTTCATATTGAAGCATTTATTCATCTATCTTGAAACGCTTACGGAAAAGTACTTAGCTTCCATTCAAGCTATTGGAAAAGTCACAGCTGTATATTGGTGAAACATAAACTTTACGGATTAGTGGTTGAAGTGAACAGTTAGATGTTCGCGAGGGGATTTGAACCCATATTTGACCGTGTCGCCTGACTTGGAAGTCTTGACAGGCGGGTCAATCGATCGTCACAACCAGGACACTTACTGGGTCGTCGTTCGATGATGAGTCAGTCACACCAAACACATTGCTCATGCGTGAACACGTCCAACTTTTCAAACGTGAACATTCAGATGCGTCCAATATGCGCTAATGGAGTAGTGGTAACACGCTCCCCTTGCATGTCAGATCTCTGGAGTTCAAATACCAACACGGCCATTGCTGATGAGTTCTAATAAGAGCGAAACTCGAGTCCAGTGCTCTCCTCTTCTGTGTGAACTAACCAGAATAATTGCACCAGGACAGGAGGACGACTGTTCAAACAAAAGTGATGTGAATATGAACAATACATGTCCCACAAACCCCACAACAGAAATCGCCGAAGGTCTGTTGTGACCCCGCAGCGCCGGACGTACACTTTCACTACACATGCTCCTGACCCAACTTGCTGTGCCCTTTTCCGTCTAGCTTCATGTTCCATTCGGACCGTACGATTGTGGGGCGTGATGTTAAGCCAGATGTACTCCACTGCAATATCAGTCGTGAAAAGCAAGTTATTAGCAGCGCCATATTGCGTCTCGGCTCTATTTACAAGCACCCGAACCATATCACTACATGCAAACGGTTGCCTAACAGTGCAAAGCACCTCCACGAAGGTTCCCCATCCTTCTGACCAATGTCATTTCCTCCCCCGATTCAGCTGTTATCAAAACACCAAGCGAACTTTGAGTCAGAACGCCGAAATTTCGAAGTGAAATGTAGTGAATTGGAAGATTTACAGAAGCAGATTGGTGATAAGGATTCTGAGCTGACAAAACTTCAGGCTAAACTGGAACAGGTGAAAATATCGACAGAAAGAGCAACGGAAGCAATTTGTGAGGAACGATGGAGAAACGAGGTGGCTGCACATAGAGAGCAGGCAAAACAACACGCTCGAACTATTTGTGTGTTGGAGGACAGACTGATGAAATTGGCAAAACAGGCGAAGGAAACAAAGACGGAAATCCAACATCTGAAACGCCAAAATTCAGGTTAGTGTATTGTAATGCCCCTATCATCCATGAGTAGCCTTTGTCCTCGTCATGATATTAATGACTGTCGGGCTAATAAGACCTTCAGAAAAAACGTATAGATGATCGTGCTGAGTTACATGTAATCGGTTACCCACGTCAATGCTTTCAACAGCTGGACAAAAAGTCAAAGGTTCTTGGTGCGAAAATGATGGTATTCCTCAAGAGTACGGCATTAGGTAGCTTAAAATTCTGAGCTTATCGTGGGCGTCCGCAGGAGCGATAGAAGAAGCCTCGCAGTTTCGTTCGTGTTGGGAGTGGCAGATACCATATAATTAGGGGAACTTAGGACTTATGAAACGACATGAAAAACCATTGTTTAGGTTCACAATGCATCCTTGTAGGCCTGACCATCTCGGGAACAGAACGTCTTAACCAAGCACTGCCGTTTTCGGATTCAGGGCATTTGAAGATGGAAATAATTCCCACACCGTGTTTTAAACTCTTGGTCATCATCAACATCATTGTCAGCTGTAATAACCGCGTACTCGTCGTACAGTGGTAGTAGCTGACTCAGTTTCGTTCACCGA